TCCCCTCCCCCCCCAGGGAGGTGTACCATCATCACCATTTAAGAGAAGGAGGCGCCCTAAGGACACATGATGCCTTTGGTGTCAATGTTAACATGCTGCTAAGCCGCTCTCCACTATTTGGCCACATTTGGACCAATGAGCAGGGGAAATAAACAAGCTCCTGCAGGTACTCATGCACAGGAATGTGGTGAGCGGTGATCCGTCTCCACGGTACCTCACACCTGGGTCTGCTGCAACTCGGGGATGCACTCCCATCACCATTTCGGAACCCCACCTGTCATGGGTTTTGTCAGTACACAGCTCCCCCACCTCGCACCAGACACGGATTTCCAAATGTGCCCCCTCCCCCGTTCCATTTGTATTTCAGAAAGACTCACCCCAAGCAGTGCAAGCGACCAAGGAGACCAGGACCAGAGCCAAGCACCGCATCGTGGGAGGACAGCAGTTCCTGGGCCACAGGTCTCTGTGCAAGTGCCTCTGCCTCCAGGGACTGTGACCTCTGCTCCTCAGCTCCCTGTGCAGCTCCCGCCCCACCGCCACCCTATTACCTAATCAGGAAGTAACACAAAAGCTTCTAGTCTCCCAAAGGGCTGCTCAGGGAACAGCCAGGGCCCCTAGGCCACGCCCACGCAGAGCTGACCATCCATTTCCTAGGCAGCCTGGACACAGCTCTCAGGTTACCTGAGTTGTCAAACAACCTGTTACATAAGGGCTTCTCATTGGACCCTTCAACCTGAGCAGGCGGTGAGCTTCCCAAGGCAGCAGACAAGAGGAGGCAGTGGTCTCAGGGTCCTCCCAACAAGGCTACAAACTTTATGAGCAACTTTCAGCCCCATAGCTGTTCAACTGGGGAATTTAAGACAAATCTCTTAGCTTCCCATTTGGTGTGTTTGTGTTGAGGGGTGGGGGGCAGGGAGGAGGTGGTGGTCAGTTCCCAGAGGCAACTATTTCTATAAAGATTGCCCTGGCCCTAGCTGGTATGCCTCAGTGGATAGAGCGTGAGCCTGCAGACTGAAGGGTCCCGGGTTCGACTCTGGTCAAGGGCATGTACTTAGGTACCTCCGTTCGGGCTTGGAGGCAGGGGGCAACCAATCCGGTGTGTTTCTCTCACATCAATATTTCTCTCTGATCAACCAAAGGACTTGTATGCATGCATATAAGCATAACCAATGGACATAAGACACTGGGGGATAGGGGAGGCTAGGGGACTGTCTAGGGCCAGGGGAGGGGGGAAATGGACACATATGTAATACCCTTTGAATAATAAAAAAAAAAAGAAATTAAAAACATATATTTCTCTCTGTCTCTCCCTCTCTCTTTAAATATCAATAGAAAAATATCCTTGGGTGAGGATTAAAAAAATTAAAAAGAAAAAAAAGGATTGCCCTAGGGTGGGGTTCCTATCTTTTATCTAGGGGGAGAAAAAAGAAACGGGTCATGAAGCACACCCAGATAGAGCACCCATATCTCTACCCACATGGGACAATCTGTGTTGTCCTCTAAGCAGAGGCTATTTCTACTCCACACACACACACACACACACGCACGGGCCTTTGCAATCTGGGAACACCGCCTGGCTGCTGGCCTTTGAAGAGTGGGAGGCGGCTGGGCACACAGCTTTCCCTTGGAGAGCTCCCTCAGGTTTCCCGTGTGGAAATGGATTACCTGGAGAGTAAAATCCTAGGAATTGTCCTTAACTCCTAAGCTGCTAGACAAGTCTTAGGAGAGAAGAAACCCCCAGGGGCTCCAAATTAACGCCCCCACCCCTCTATGTCCATCAGTTTACTCAACAGATATATGGTGAGCATGCACGCAGGAAGCACTGGACAAGTGTGAGCCCACGTGGGACTGTGCCCTTCACTTGGCTTTGCCCACTAATCATGGCATGAATTGGCATAGGCTTTGTGGCGGAGAACACGGCACAGGCACACAAGAGTTGGGGGGCCCACTGGGTGACAATGGGGGTCCCTTTCTGGAGAAAGAGAGACAGTGGCTGGCTCATGTACCATCCACTCCAAACCAAAATTCTGTGGATCTAGAATTCTGTGACATTTTTCTGGAACCTCGGTTATTTTCATATTAACATCCCATTTTATGCCATGTCAGCTCACCATCTGTACTATTATTAGCAATATCCCTTCAGTGTTTTTTACTTTAAACTCATTCATTCAACAAGAAAATGTTACATCATGGCCATACATGGAAGACCTGGATGACTTGCCACAAATAAAGGTGAGCATGGAAGGTGTGTCACTGCATTTTAAAAAAAGTAAAATGATGGCAAACATAACAAGAGAATATCTACACTAATAAAAAACAAGGATGCTAATTGACTGTACCTTTGCTACAACCACCAGCCTATCAGAAGAGTATGCAGATTAACCAAAGATGGTTGTTAATTTGCATACACAGGCGCCCAGCAAAGATTGCAGACAGTGTAGAAGGAAGCCAAGCACTGCAGAAGGGAGCCAGGCAGAAGAGAAAGAAACGGATCGAAGGTAGCAGAGACCGGAGTGGAGCTGAGGCAGCGGACACGAAGGGAGCCAAGTGGCGGAGAAGGGAGGTAGGCGAAGCAGAGGACACTGGAGGGAGCCGAGGCGGCAGGGAAGGAAGAGAGCGAGGCAGTGGAGAAAACAGGAAGCAACGTGGTGGAGAAGGGAGGGAGCCGAGGCAGCAAAATAGGGAGGAAGGAAGGCAGTGGAGAAGGAAGGGAGCCAAGGCTGTGGAGAAGGGAGAGAGCTGAGGCGGCAGAGAAG